CTAAACATTAAGTATTCGTAAACTTGACTGTTGGCTTTGCTTTTTTTTCCTTTGTGATTTCATTCATTTCTTTCACCTTTGTTTAAGTTGCGTATTTTTTCATGATTTGCGTAGACCAATTAAAGTAATTGATTTATTTTTGGTGCATCTGCAGTCGATGGCAGTGTCCTCGTCCACATCCAATAATATTGTTGTGAACTCCGTTGCATCGAATACTGCCGGCCCACATCATTCATACACGTCCCAAGCGAATATAACATTGCAGCAGCCTCAGCATCATCAGACCACACTGCAACATCAACAACAGCAATCGCATCTGCAATCGCAACACCACCAACAAATCCACCAGCAGACGCAACATTTGCTCCCTCAGCCCCAGATTACCCAAATACAAACAATTCCAGCACAACATTCAGCCGGTGCGACCGCCTCTACGGGCACTTCGAACACAACGACAATGAGTAACAACCACAGCGCGGTGGTGTCCACGGCAAGTGCCGGCACAACGACGGGGACACCAACTATGGCGACAACGCAAAGCGCTGCGCAAGGAAATACCAAAGAGAAATGTCGAAAATTCTTGGCTAACTTAATTGATTTGGCAACGCGCGAACCCAAGCCGGTGGAAAAGAATGTGCGTAACCTTATCCAAGAGTTGGTAAATGCGAACGTTGAGCCAGAGGAGTTTTGCGATCGGCTGGAACGACTGTTAAATGCCAGTCCACAACCTTGTCTAATTGGATTTTTGAAGGTTTAATCATAGCGATTTTATATTCGAGTTGAAATTACAATGGAATATTTTCTCTTTTGCTTACAGAAAAGTTTACCGCTGCTGCGTCAGGCGCTTTTTACTAGAGAACTTGTAATTGAAGGCATTAAGCCCCCCCCCGCAGCATGTAGCCGGTTTGACTACCTTACAACAGTTTCCGGTAAGTAATCAATTTGGAATATATGTTTTTGAAGTTAAACTTCTTTAGCGACAACAACAACAATAAAACAATTATTACGGAAAATACCATATTATTATATGAAATCAGTTTTTGTATTATGAACTTTTGTGGATGGTCGATTCATAATATGAAACAACAGAATGCAAGGGTTTATCTTGTATCGTTTGAATTCATAATATGAGGGTTAGCTTGTACAGCTAATGTATAGAGAGAAGCTTCAGTTTCCTAGTGTAGCTAGCGCACTCACTATTTACATTTTTTATTTTATTTTGCCTTTTTTCATTTTGTATTTATTTATTACAGAAAATTCAAGCGCAAATACGCCCCATTAGTCAAAATCAAACGACTACCATCGGACAGACGCAAGTGAGAATGATTTCGCCTGGTGGGCCAGGTGGTCCCCGACCTATTGGACATACGACGATCACAAAGCAGCAGGGTGGAATTCGTATACAAGGTCCCACCAGCGGGCCTCGACTTGTCAATGCCCAAATCCGAGGACCCATTCCAGCGTCCATACATCAGTCAAATGCGCAACTCCCTACTGCGCCGAACCAAGCGGTGAGTTAATAGAAAGTCATTTGACTGCTGAATTGGTTTGAACCAATTGTTTATCCACAGAATATTGTACATATAAGAGCTCCAACAGTAACACAAATTAGCCGACCCGCAACGGTTCAAATACGTACTGCGAAGGGCAAAAATGCACCACCAGGCATTACGCACGTCAAAGTTGGACAGACCCAAATCAAGGCGATCTCCTCGCCTGTACCATCGCTTGTCACGTCAAGTCAGCCGCCCTCACTCGCAGCTATTTCCAACAGCTTACCACCCTCGTCAACACCATCGCT